AGTTTTTGAGTGAATATGTTTTCAATTTTCTTGGGTATATATATGTAGGGGTAGAACTCCTGGGTCATTTGGTAAGTCATTTTCCGAGGAGCTTCCAAAACTGTTCTCCAAAAATGCTGCACCATTTTACATTCCCACCAGCAACAAATGAAGGCTTCAATTTCACCAGGTGCTCTCCAACACTTATTTTCAATTTTTTAAAAGTTATCCTAGTGATTGCAAAGTATTGTCTCCTTATGAGTTTGACTTGCATTTCCCTAATAATTTTGAGCATCTCTTTATTTAAATATTGGCTATTGATACATATTGCTGGAGATGTGTCTATTCAAATCCTTTGCCCATTTAAAATTTTAAAATTGTTTATTGTTGGGTTTTAAAATCTTATTACATGTTCTGGATACTAAGTCCTTATCGGATAAATTATTTGTAAAAATTTTCACCCATTCTGTGAACTGTACCTTTCTTGAAGTTTTAAATTTTGATGTCCAATTTATCTAGTTTTTATTTGGTTGCTGTGCTTAGAATCTCATACTTAAGAAACCGTTGCCTCATCAAGGTCATGAAGCTTACTCATAAATATAATCCTAAAACCAGCTTTCACTTTCTCTTCTCATACAAGGGAGAGATGTATAATCCCAAATTCCCTTTGCAGTTTTAAAAGAGCCTGAACCTCGACTTGGCATTGGAAAAAAAGGCTCATTTTTCACTGAGGCATAGGAGCATCATATTAATATATTTAAAGAATTCACAAATTTTCTCCCAAATTATGAAAAGTGCTTATTACAGAGTAGTAAATAAATTATGGCTACTTATAATTATTATCTTAATCATTATAATTACTGCAAGATATTTTATACATGTGCTCTGGATAAAATAATAGAAAATAATAAAAGTTCAGAGCTCACAATTAAGAGAGAGGCATTCAAAGAGATATATTAGCATAGGTGACAGCTAAAAATTGAGATGGCCTCCTTATATCTGCTGGGATTGGAAACCTGAAGGACAGCACTTGTACCTCTAGCTGAGAAAAACATCTCCTAAAATTTGATGACAGGGAAAAAAACTTTCGTTTCATAAACCTGTTTCAAAATCCTTAATCACTTTAACATCCACCCGAGATGTTATAAAACAGTTCACCTACTGTTGGGCTGATGTATCTGATGAATCTTGACTTTTCAGTTCACACGATCTTTCCACAGAACATAAAAATGAGAATTACAGAGCCACTTGCTTCTCAAAGCCCACTCTTATTCCACCACAATCCATGGGCCGGCCTCAGGGAGAATTTTAGGACTACCCCTTATGACTGGACAAGCAGCGCACTGCTCAACCATAAGGCCATGCAATTTGACTCAAAGTCACCCTACATCCAAAGAGTTATGATTTTCCAGCAGGTTAGGCAGACAAGTGGGCTTTCCAGGTGGTTCAGTGGTAAAGAATCCGCCTGCCAATGCAGGAGATGCAAGAGACACAGGTTCGATACCTAGATCAGGAAATGGCAACCCACTCCAGTATTCTTGCCTGGGAAAATAGGTTGCCATTTTCCCTGGAGTAGAAATTGATGACCCACTCCAGTATTGCTTCCTGGGAAATCCCAAGGACAGGGGAGCCTGGTGAGGGCCCATGGGGTCGCAAAGAGTTGGGCAGAACTGAGCATAGCACAGCAGAACACAAACAAGCATTTTGGAGGACGCCTGTTTTTCTAACTTGTGTACGTTCACTGAAGGGGTAAGCAATGTGGCAGTGGATGGGATTCCCAAACCTTCACTGCATTTGCAGGCAGCGCACTCATACCCTTGGCTTATCCTTAGGTCTTCAAGTTCTTGAGAAGCAATGCGGGCTTCCTGTATGTTATTTTGGTAGCTGTCTGCTCTGCAGTATTCCCTTGTGCTAGTAATAATACCCATAACTTTAAAGAGACGTATACCAACGGCCTACAGAACCCCTTTGTGTCTGAATTAAAAGTAATGACAGCAGTGGCCATGGCAAATAAGGATTTAAAACACACTGATCCCCCAAGAGAAAAATATCACAATTCGTAGAAGAAATTAAAGTGACGTTAAACATAGGAAAAGCTCAATTTTACTAGTAACAAATTTAAAAATTAAAATAGTACAGCATATTTTTCACTTATGAGACTAACCAAAATAAGGGTGCTGACAAACGCAGGAAGAAATGGCGTTTATATGCTGTTGATGGAAGTGGATAGGGACCACTTTTTCGGCAACAGTGAGAACATCGAATGTATATTCCCTTTGATTCAGACATTCCACTTCTAGGAAATTATTTGAGTTGAAATATGTTAAGTAGGCAAAACTTTCTGTGTACAAGAATGGTTAGAGCAGTACTACTGGCGATGCTGCACTGTTAGAGATAATCTTTATATCCTATTGGTTGAATTAAATTCAAAATAGAATGCATAGTATGATTGCTTCTTTTAAAATTATATGCACATATGTACACGTGCACGCAAGTGCTTATATATGCACATATACACACAGTAAAACAGAGAAAATGATGGACAGTGATTATCTCTGGGGGATATGAAGGGGAAAAAGGAGGAGTTTGACTTTATATATCTTTGTAATTTTTTTTTTTAAAAAGATCACCAGCAGCACTTTAGAAATTAAATGTAAACCTATGAAGTTTATACTTCACTTTGGAACTGGAAGCTAGCCAGAAATGTACTTCAACTGTATATTAACTGCATGATGAAAATATTTTTGTCAAGTGGTCATAGGATACCAGCTATTTTCCTTTGGGATAAAAGTTCTTGGCATATCTAACACTCATCAGTCAAGGTACATTTCATAATAAGAAACTATACATGAGATTATCCTCTATATAATACGGTTCCTATCTGCAGGAGATTAATGCCAAACTTGGGACGACACAGGTGTAAATTCTGAGTCCTGAAATTATACCTCGGAGGAGGGAGCTTGTTTTAGTTGATTAGCGAAAAGCATGGAAGGCCCTAGGAACAACAGCCTTTGTGCAAGAGCCCCAGAGCAGCACAGGCAATAACTATTCTCCAGTTTTTCATCCAAGAGGAATCTGCAGATTTCAGCTTTTCTTGGGGTGTTCATGCAGTTACCCAACTTCTCAGGAATGCAAACAAACAAATTTGCATTTAGAAAACAGCTCTTTCGCTCCTCTGTCCTTCCAGAAACAGAAAGACACTGCTATGGCCTGAATCTTTGTGTCCTCCCAAAGTTCCTATGTTGAAATTCCAACTCCCAAAGATGATGGTAGTAGGAGGTGAGGCCTCTGGAAAGAGCTTAAGTCATGAGGCTGGAGGCCCCATGAATGGCATCAGTGCTTATAAAAGAGACACCCCCAGCCCCTTCCCCCATGTGTGGACACAGTGAGCAGTCTCAGATCTGAGGGGGGCCTCGCTCGATCCTGCTGGCCCTTGATCGCAGACTTCCAGCCTCCAGAACTGTGAGAAAGAAATTTCTGCTGTTTATAAGCCACCCAATTGGTGGTTATTTTGTTACAGCAGCTCAAACAGACTAAGGTGGATGCTATTCAAAAGATCAGGTTCATGTCCGGATTGTTCTCTTTCCTGAGGGCATGAAGTAAGTCACATACTCGCCTACTTCTTAGCCTAGAGAGTGCTCTAGTAACATCTAGGCCAACTCCTTTTCCAAATGTGGCCACTTGGGTAAAGAGCATTAGAAACTGTGAAATTCTCAACGAATGGGAAAGCATTTTAATATGAATGTAACTTACTATTGGCTTCCCAAGTGGCACTCATGGTAAAGAACCTGCCTGCCAATGAAGGATATGTAAGTGATGTGGGTTCCATTCCTGGGTTAGGAAGACCCCCTGGAGCAGAAAACAACAACCCACTCCAGTGTTCTTGCCTGGAGAATCCCATGGACAGAGGAGCCTGGTGGGCTACTGTCCACAGGGTCACAGAGCCGGACATGACTAAAGCGACTTATAAGGATTTCAACAAAATAATGTTGCATTAAGTTTTATTATATGGTGACTATTGCTGGCCACTTCTGGTATAAAGGATATTAGAAATAATTCTACACTGGCACTCATAGATGATTCTATTAAAATAACATTTTTAATGGCCAGAAAATTAAGAAACAACCCTATATGAATTATTAGAGGGACCATCATGGGACAGACGGTACAAATTCTTTCCATCTTCTGCAACAAGAAAATGAAACACTGCCTAAATTTAGCAAAGACACTATAAGAGGCAGGTAGTTTGCAGGCAGGAAAACCTTTTATTTTAAACCACAAATAATCAGCAGGTGGCCACAACTATCCATGTTTCATTAAAATCACATAAAACCTAGGTACAAAAGCACCACTGATTATTGCTCTAGAAAAACGGCATGAAAAAATCCAAATACGCACAGTAAAAGCACCACAGTATGCACAGGACTAAATTTTTAAAGCAAGTGCATGGAATGCTGAATCAATTTTACAGACAGCTTCCAATATTAAACCGGTATTTATTTTACTCAAGGATGATGGAAATTTCCAAAAAGCACGACTATGAGAAGGTAAAATGTCCATCCTTATATATTTTTGTATGCCAACTAGTAGAGTCCTAAAAAATTAGCATTTACAAAATACTCGGTAAAAATAGCTTTTAAAAGTTGTCCCAAGAGGTACATAAAATCAACCCCAATTTTCATGACCATTCATTCTCCCTCGTTAGCTACAGATTCAGTTTTCTGTGCCTGTGGAAAAAGAAAGGAAGACAAAAAAGACAGTTACTATTAAAACTACCATAAGCCAAAGAAGACTCCACCCGAGCAACACGCACAGTTTGGAACATCCGTTTTTAGCGGCTCTACTACAAAACCGAGTCAACTCTGGGTGTAAAAACAGACAGGGCAGGGATATATGACACGAACACTTGGCTGCATTTGTTGCTTTCTGCTTTGCAAACGACCACAGAAGCTTTGCCTGCGGGGCTCCCGCGGTTCATGATTAAAGAAAAAGAACACCACCACACTACTATCTGATGCTAGTCACTGCAAACGTGCAGAATTGTCTACTGTACCCTTAACTCTCACTGTTTCAATCTGCCCCTTTACTGACAGTGTGCTGGGTGGGGTACCTCTGGAGGCTGAGACATTAACAGTTGAGCGAGAGATGTGGATCTGCAATCACATTACGGGCAACAAAGAGACACATTATGAATGTGCGGTCGCCGGCTGAAGGGTCCAGCAATTGCTTTCAAGACACTGATTCAATCGACGGGAGGTGTTGGGGAAAGTACCTCTTCAGCTTGAGTGTCACCATTTTCAGCCGGTGCTGCGGTACCTTCCTTCCCAGCTTCCTGCTTCTCCTCCTTCTTCCCTTTAACACCTTTGCTAACCTTTGTTGCTGGTTCTTTCTAACAGAGGGTCAAAGCACAGGGAGACAGAGTGTGTGAGACAGGGTGGGAGGTGGTGGAAACTCAGCCAGCCTCCATCCAAACACAGGGGAAGCACGAACAGGGGTGACGGGGTGGCTCTCAGGGGAAAACGGGAACCCGGTTCCGCTGAGCTGTGAGTGGGTTACTCGGAGGCTCCCGTGGAAATGGAACAGGCAACTTAGGAAATCCACTGGACTCGGACTTCTCAAGTGTGCGTCTGGTGAGCAGCCTCTCTTGATACAGTGAGAAGCGGTCCTGCTGTGGGGAGAGCAGCTGCAGGGGGACAGTGAAGTCAGGGCAGACCCAGCGAGAGAAACCCTGCACATGAGGACTTGGGGCTACAAGCTGCGAGAGCCCTGGAGAAGGCAGGCCCAGAGGAAGAAAAATTCCTATTTTAAGACCAAGCCAGGACTGCCCTGGTGTCCAACAGTTAAGACTCTAATGTGCTCCCAAAGCAGGGGGCCCAGGTTCCATCCCTGGTTTGGGAACTAAGATTCCAGATCCCACAGGCAGTGAGGTGTGACCGCCCCTCCCCCAAAAAAGACCAAAGCCACAGAAATGAGTTCCGCTTCACAATCGCCTTTTCACACCTCAATACACATCATTTCAAATGCACACACAACAAGGGATGACGCTCTGAAGGGCAGAGTAAAGAAAAGCCGTTTGGGGGTAAACTTCCTACCCCCGATAATTCTGCACTGCAATTTCCTCATCTGCCAAACAGAATATGTGTCCCTACCTTAGTAGGACTGATGTGAGTGTCTTATGCATAGGATGAAAGTGAAAGGCGCTCAGTCGTGTCTGACTTTGTGACCCGAGACCACACAATCCATGGAATTCTCCAGGCCAGAATACTGGAGTGGGTAGCCTTTCCCTTCTCCAGGGGATCCTCCCAACCCAGGGATCAAACCCAGGCCTCCTGCATTGCAGGCGGATTCTTACCCGCTGAGCTACCAGGGAAGCCCGTGCATAGGATGAGGGTCTGGCATAGGACAAGAGGCTTCCAGGTGGCTCAGGGGGTTAAGAATCCGCCTGCAATGCAGGAGCTGGAGCAGAACGTGGATTCGATCCCTGGGTCAGAAGGATCCCTGGGGGAAGGAAATGGCCACCCACTCCAGTACTCTTGCCTGGAGAATCCCATGGACAAAGGAGTCTGGCGGGCTACAGTTCATAGGGTCACAAAGAGTTGGACACGACTGAAGCCACTGACACACACGCACATAGGACAAGGGCCATATAACTGTTTGCTGGCATTAATCTGTTGTGTATTATTATGATTACTGTGTGTGTTAGTCGCTCAGTCGTGTCCGACTCTTTGCGACCCCGTGGGATGTTGCCTGCCAGGTTCCTCTGTCCATGTGATTCCCCAGGCAAGAATACTGGAGTGGGTGGCCTTTCCCTTCTCCAGGGGAGCTTCCTGACCCAGGGATCAAACCCAGGTCTCCTGCTTCCCTTGTGGCTCAGCTGGTAAAGAATCCGCCTGCAATGCAGGAGACCTGGGTTCGATTCCTGGGTTGGGAAGATCCCCTGGAGAAGGGAAAGGCTACCCACTCCAGTATCCTGGCCTGGAGAACTCCATGGACTGTACAGTCCACGGGGTCACATAGAGTCAGACACGACTGCGCACCTTTCACTTACACTTACTTACCTGCATTGCAGGCAGACTCTCTACCATCTGAGCTACCAAGGAAGCCTTAATTATTTGGTAGTATTGACTAATTAATACTCAGCAGACTGGCCTCCTAAGACCAGTTCTAGGAAGCCAGAAGCCCCTCACAAGTCCTCCACCAGCTGTTGGCAGCAGGCCCAGGCTCACTGCTCTGGAGAACCATCTGAACTGTGTGTTTCATGAGGCAGCGACCAAACTCCACCTTGGACATGAGGCTTCTCAGAGCACCATATGCTCTGACTTCCTTTGCTGAATGGACCAAATGGAAAACACACTCCCAGTAAAGTGTAAAAACTGTGCTCTCTGCTTTTTGAGAAAGCCTGTCTCCAGCTCGGGTGGGTTTTCTAGTCCAGGCACTGAGCCTGAATCATTAAATGTGATCTTTCCTCGGATGACTCTGGGACATGGAATTATAATTTATTCACTGTTGAAAAAGCCAAAGCGGGGGAGGGAGCACCTCTTACCTTAGCAGATGTTTTTCTTGGTTTAGGTTCAGGTTTGGGGGGAGCAGGTTTCTGCAAAGATAAATGAAGTTATACAAATACTGAAAAAGACAACCCTCAGCACCAAAGGAAACAGCAACAAGACTGCCAAAGACAACAGTCCATTTGGACTATGACGTTCATTTCAAAAGAAAAAAATGTCGTCCTCTTTTCAGCACCAGCAAAAAGACCTCCCCATTTCATGACTATTTTCATCCTGGGTTCTCAGGTCAACGACAGGTGAGATCTCAAAGTCAATTCACTATTCCCTGGGCCAGAACAACTCTCTGGCAACACATTTAAGCTTCTGTCTGATGTCTCTTTATTTCCCTTTATCACAGCAATGCAGCAAGAGGAACGACTCAGGCCCTCAGCCAAATGACGCTGTGGATTTGGTTCACACTGGCCTTCCAAACAGTCTAGAAATCCTAGCACCATCACAGGCAAGGCCCATCTGGAAATGAAGAGAGCTGCCCATGAAGTATTCCAAAACCAGTTCCAAATTCTCCCACCTCTGATGTGGGTTTCAAATGCCTGTCTGAGCTTGAGCTTCTTCCTACTTTTCTCTTCCAAGGCCAGTTCAAGGTGAACAGAATCTCCTGGCCACCCAGACCCTGGGCTCCCTAGAGTCTGTTATCAGGAACACAATTATAATGATGCAAGTTTACTGCGTGTGTGTGTGCTCAGTCACTTCAGCTGTGTCCGACTCTTTGCGACCCTGTGGACTGTAGCCTGCCAGGCTCCTCTGTCCGTGGAATTCTCCAGGCAAGAATACTGGAGTGGGTTGCTGCGCCCTCCTCCAGGGGATCTTTCCCGACCCAGGGATCGAACCTGTGTCTCTAATATCTCCTGCACTGGCAGGCGGGTTCTTTACCACTAGCACCACCTGGGAAGCCCACAATGTATACTGTTAGCTCCCAAAGTTCAAGATCTTTCTGGCTAATAAGCCAAAGGGCCCACCAGGTGATTTTTTTTCTTGCCTTCTGTGTTTTTCCCCACTCCTGGTAGCAGGAGTGGCCCCACGCCCCGCCACACAAGGCTTCAGCCCAGCTGCTTCCTAAGGGCCTGAGATGGGTACAAGGAGACACGGGGCGGGGGGGGGGGGGGGAGTTTAAACCTGTGGTTTTTCTAAAGCTATCGTAGGGCAAATATTTCTCTCATTGAGCTAGGAAAAAATTATACCTCTCTCCTGGCACCAGGGAGCATGGTTTTTAAGTAGAAAATACTGCCCAGAGTACCTCCTCCGCCACCCCACCCCCCACCCCCCAAGGAGAAAAACACGTGTTCCTCCCCAGCGACGCCACGTGTTCAGGATCATACCGAATCCAGCCCTCTCCATCAAGGTCATAAAGTGAAATTATCATCAGTTCAATACTGGAAGACTGGTCATTGGACATAGCCTCTCAAATAAGTGAGCTTGAAAAGCAGGGGCTATTTTCCTTAATCTTCTGACCACCATAAATTTGCTCCCCAAATATATCAGCTTGCATAGCTCCTAAATTTTCAGGATATAAAACATTTTACTTCAGGCTTCGATACATTGTACTGACATGTCCGTGTTTTCTCAATTTACAGCAAGATGGACCTTTTCCCCCTAAACTCAGTATTAGTGTTTTAATGGGACAGGAAATGGTGATGTTTTTGTAGTCTGTAATCCCACTGGCTTCCGAGGTTCTGCGTCAGCACTGAGGCCATGATGTCAGCGAAAGGTATTATATTGCTGGACCCTGGTGCTCAGGAAAGGCCTTCTTTTATATTTCAGTTTTTGACTTAAACGTCTACCCCCCTTGATGGACTAGATATCCATGCAATACAATGGCTTTCAGCATAAACTACAGTGACATCAAAAAGAGTTAAGACATAATGTTTCAACCATGGTGAAAATTACACCACTGGACAAGCATAACCTTTTGTGTTGGTGTATTGTATTGGTATTGTAGCAGAATCTGGATTAACTATGTATATATACAAACACACCTCCCAGGTCTTAACCTTCCAGGTGACTCTGATGTTGCTTCTTAGGTTGGGACTCATGTGGCTCTACTGGTAAAGAACCTGCCTGCCAATGTAGGAGACACAGGAGACATGATCCTTGGGTCAGGAAGATCCCCTGGAGGAGAAAACGGCAACCCACTCCAGTATTCTTGCCTGGAGCACCCCATGGACAGAGGAGCCTGGCGGGCTGCAGTCCATGGGGTTGCAAAGAGTCAGACATGCCAGAAGTGACTTAGCATGCACACGTGTGGAACACTGGCTCAACCCAACCTAAACCTGGCTATACTTCCAAACTTGAGAATGGTTCCAGTACCTATTTCTTTCCTTTTAAATTTGTGAAACAAGTTTAGCAAAAATATATTAAGAAAAGCCAGAAACTGATATATTTTTTTTTAATTTGTGAAAAGTTTGTAATATCCATTTCACAGCTTGGATTCCCTGCATTGTGCCAGGCACAGGTGTGGGCTGAGGAAGAAAGCCAGGCTTCCCTGAAGGTCCCAGTACCATCTAGTACGGGCTGTTAGCCAAGAGGTCAGTGCCTTCCCCACTACATCTCATTGGGCAGCGCAAGTCCCCCTCCAGAGAGCTGGGCTGACTGGTCTCGGGAGGAGGAGGCCGGGCACATGAGCAGGGTGGGCGGGAGGAGCACGGCGGGGTGAGGAGGGCTGGGGCACAGTCTTGTCAAGGCTTGATCACTGCCCATCCCAGCTTCAATGATCTTAACCCACGACTCTTGGCCCGGAGAGGGAGACCCCAGGTGGCAGAGTGGAAATGGTTCCTTTTTTAAAGATTGTCTAGTTCTGAAGTGAGGCTACAGCCTATGGATTCAGACGACTTTCAGAACATTCTGACTACGGTATGGACTTTCTCTTTTCTCGTGGAGAGAGAATCAAGACTTCTTGTCTCCTTTGGTACATCAGGTGTAGGATAGGAGATGAGGGCTTTGCTAATAACGTCACTCTTCATCGTACGGCTCCAGCCATGGCAAACAACTCCCTGGGCTTCATATGCTTGCTCGCTGGGCTGGCCACTGTTCTTCACCAGCGTATCTGATCGCTGGGCTGGCCACTGTTCTTCACCAGCGTATCTGATCAAGTGAATTGCTTGGCAACACTTGTCCAACCTGCTCGAAATTCTGACCCAGGCAATTTCCAAAAAGGAAATTAAACAAAGCTCAAGAGAAACACCACCTTAGTCTTCATTCTGCTGCTGTGGACAGGAGTGTGTGTTCGTAAGAGCTAACAACAGTGGGGCCCAAAGTACTCACCGCTGACAACCTGGCAGACCGTCTGGTGGGCTACAAAAGGAAAAGAAACACAAAACATAATTTTTCGTGATTATGCACAATCAAGCTGATTTTTAAAAAATTCATTCTTACTGTCTTATTTTGTTGAAAGAATAGAACGCATGAGTCCCATTAACCCCCCACATCCACCCATGGTGAGCACAGTGAAACATAACCCCAAGTACCCTGAGCACTGGAACATTCCAGAAAAAGTGTTTGTAAAGAGGTGCAGGTGCACTGTTCAAAGAAATGGCCTCTCGCAGTGGAGGGTGCCGTGGGCAAGGCAAGGAAGATGCATTTAAGCTCCGACCCAAACCATCATCTACTTCTATTATAAAATGGGCAGCAGGAGCACTGAGGCGCTATTTCAGAACCAGTCCAGTCTGACGTGCATTTCTTACAAACGGAACCAAAGCTTATAAATTTATACAAAAAGAGACTTATATAATTGTGCAGAAACTGAAATAGCAGGAGTCTTCTCCCTGGTTACTATGTTAGAAAAGAGAATGACTACAAATCTTAGGCAGTTAACAACCACAGCTTCCTTTCATCTGTAATAAACACAATGATTGATCTATGAAATGCACATCGCTGAAAGATTTAAAGAGTAAAAAGCTCTTTTCATTTGCAAGTTTACAAATTTACAGAACCTGCTGAGATTAGAAATTCTCAAGGAAATCTTCTTCCTCAAGGATGGTACAAGTTCACAGCAAAGGAGATGGTAAAGAAAATTTCTAAGAGCAGAAATGCTCTACGTATTTCAGAAAAACACATACAACTGGTACTCTACTCCTCACCAGCCAAAGTCGGACCTCAAGGGGATTTCACTTTTTCAACTTCCTTTGTTTAAAAGTGTTCCAGGAGCAGATACTCCACCCGTTCTCTTTTGTTCACAGCTCTATTTCTATTAGAACAGTGCCACCTAATATATAATGGATATGCAAGAATACTCATGAAAGAAAATAAAAAAAGAACTCAAGCTTGTCTCTAATTTGCTGCCTTATGTGGATGCTGCCTCATGACAACAGCTTAAAGGTCTCAAATAATCTTTTTGAGGGTCAGCCAAATGGTCAGCAGGAACCTGGGTCACAATTCCAAGGAATCATGGAATTCTCAAGTCAGTCTGGATGAGCTGGTCAAGGCCAAAGGGCCTTGGGGCGTTTCTTGCCATCTCCACATTGAAGAATTTTCTTGCTGAAAATAGCCAGAGGAAGCTAAAGCCGTCTTTCTTTAAACTACAGAAGGAAATGAAGGGCCAGAGCCTCCAGGAATAACTTTAACCCTTCGTTAAAGTTCATGCGCACAGCTCAGAGCTGGACTTCAGGCGGGCGGGCAAAAGTGTCGAGTCAGGAGACTGTGCAGACACGTCACTGCACAGGATCAGGGGATGCACAGCTCGACACACAATGTGGGTCTTCCCTCCCGCTCCTTGTCTGTACCCCTTCTGCACGGAACCATCTTCTCTTGCACAGAAACATCTTATCTTGCACTTCTGTAGCTCTGATGCCTGGCGGGGGCCCTCAGCAAACATGGAGGTGACTGGACTGGGTGAGCACCAGACACGCATAGCAAGAGTGAACTCGCAGGGAGCGGTGCCAAGGCCACTAGTTACTTAGGATCCAGTCTGGAGCCTGCGAAGGAGCCAACAGCTTGACCATCATTTACAACTGCCTCCCTATCAACCAATGAGCTGTCCCGAGTAACAGCTCATTGAAGGGAAGCCAGATCTTGTGAAAAATTCCCCAACTCGACGGTTCTCTGCTCCCTCCCTCTCCAGGCAAGAGGGGAAGACTGAAGAGGCAGAGTGATGTCACACCCCCACCCCCACCCCCATCCCGGGATTTCCAGAGACATTCCAACAGAGCACTGGCCTGCCAGCTGCTCCGAGCCAAATGACTCACTACCTTTTCATAATTCAGGTCCAGTGTAAGAGTTTCAAAATAAAAAGCCTACAAAATGCATGCAAAACAAAGTCTGCCTTTACCAGGCAATCTAAATGGTGCCATCTCTAAAACGCATATATTCTACAGTAAAATGATTTTATGACGTCCTGCCTAAAACTTACCAGCTCTTCTATGTTAGGGAGAAAAACAACAACAACTTCTCTTAAGTATTCTTCTCTTAAACCATTCTAAGACATGCTCTTTCTCACTGCAGAGAGGGGAGGCCGAAACAAACTTTCGCTCACAGTCAGTAGTACTGACTCTGCACCAGGTGTGTATATCTTCCTGGAAAGTTTCATCACATTTCACAAATGACTGGATTCTATTTACTGGATACAAAATAGACCAGGCTGCTCTTCTCCCCTCTTTCAAACACTGGAATTTGAAGTATTCATTTGAGACTCAAGACTGTGGGGCAAAACTACTATTAAGAAAAAAAAAAGAATTTTTCTCAATAAACAAGGGTTTACTGTATAGCACAGGGAACTATATTCAATATCTTGTAATAACTTATAGTGGAAAAGAACTTTAAAAAAGAACATAGATGTATATATATATGTGTGTATCACCAAGTCATTTTATGTGCCTAAAACACAATATTGTAAATCAACGATACGTCAATTAAAAAAAAAAAATGTCTCTCCATTTGTTGATTGTGAATCCGCAGGAAAAGTGGCCAAAAGAGCAGTTCTCGGGGGAAAAATAGGAAGGCTTTGAGAATGATGGGTCGCTAAGAGTTACAGAAACAGTGTGAGTGTTTGTTACTGTGGTACACAGGTGCTGGACAAAATGGAATTAATTCACTGAGTATTTATTGATTACCTGATAAACTCCTTAGGCTGGACAAAATTACAGTGAGGGCTACTATGAAGGATATGGAGTCTTTAATGTCCTGGTTGCAAAAGCAACACAGAAGTCTGATCTCAATATGACAGAATTCCCTGGGAGAGCTAGAGACAAGTAGAATCACTGGATCACTGGACTTAGCTGAATATTGCTTAAAACATATGGGCCATTCCAGTGGAATTCAGAAGTATATTTACTTTTATGAGATTTCTTAATGCTTCTGTGCTTCACCATGCACTTCCAAGCAAAGCCTACAAGTCAAGTTGCTTTTAACTTTCAAAAACAAATGAAGAGCTAGGTAGAATTTCCCTTCTTTGCAGAACTGCGAAGTGGAGCAGGATGCGTATCAGGGTCTTGACTGGAGGATGGAGAAGACAGAGAAAAGGCACTGGGTGACCAGATTCTTCTGTTTTGTTTTTTTGGCCGTGACGTGTGGCATGCAGGATCTTATAGCTTCCTGACCAGGGATTGAACCCGGGCCCCCTGCACTGGGAGTGCAGAGTCTTAACCCCTGTAACACCATGAAGTCCCATGACCAGATTTATGATGACTCCAAGGGGCATAAGGACAGGGATTTTGAGTCAAAAGACTCAGACATCTTTCCTGGTGCTGCAACTGACAAGGTGTGACATGTGACATGTGACTATGTTATTTCTCTGAGAACCTTTTTCACTCTTGTTAAATGGGGATAATAATTGGTGCCTCTGTTGACCAAAACAGTTCTTCTCTGACATAAATTACTCCCTCTGATTGCTTTTTCTTCATAGCAGATTTCTGATCATTTTATTTACTCTTATCTTTTGCCCTCCTACAGTGGAAGCTCCATGAAGGCGGAGACTTGCTCCTTTGTTCACTACGCAATCTGCACAGCCTGCTGCATTCAAGTGCCCCACACGTCTTTTGGTTGCTTTGGTTGAAATGCTGTTACTGTTGTTCAGTCATTAAGTCAGTCATGTCTGACTCTCCGCATCCCCCTGGACTCCAGCATATCAAGCTTCCCTATTCTTCACCATCTCCCAGAGTCTGCTCAAACTCATGTCCACTGAGTCAGTGATGCCATTCAGCCATCTCATCCTCTGCCGCCCCCTTCCCCACCTGCCCTCAACACCTCCCCCAGCATCAGGGTCTTTTCCAATGAGTCAGCTCTGGGCATGGCCAAATGTTTCTACGGAAATCCTGAAGGGCTCTCTCCCCTCGTTCCAGGGTTAAATTAAGGGTCAGCTCAAATAATGGAGGTGAAAGGGCTTAGGAATCTGCCCAGTGTAAAACGACTGCAGCCTATCACTTTGGTCATTTATTGTCCAGATACTATACTCTGCACTATGCCCTTCAAATACCGCAGAGGAGATTTTCAAAAGGGGATCCTCCTTTGTAACTAATATTTATTGACTGTAGACTAGGCTGGGCACACTCAGTGACATAACTAAAAGATCCCACCAATTCAGCAGGGAAAATCAATATATGATCAAACAGTTCTTATCCCAAAGCACTTCTAATTAACCAACCTTTTCACTTCTTAAACAATTGTGTTGGTGTCCGGAAGACAAATCATAAGTTTTACTCTGGTCTTGATTTAAATGATAGGAAGAGTCTTTTCTAGGAAAGATTTCTGATAGCAGTAAGATAATACATGCAATCAGATAAAATATTAAAAATAATAATGTAAAAAAAAGTAATAAAAATTCTGAGGCTAAAAGAATATGCATAAGACAGTTGTATGAGCAAAAATGTTTTTCATATATCCTAATCAGCTTGCTGACTTTTAGTGTTGAAAGGGAGGAAAAGTTGTTTTCACTATCCATGATCTGTTGTACATAATGGTTTCTAGGTTTTCTGACAGATCAATTTAAATAGCAGTCCCCAAGGAGAAACCCAAATGCATTTGTGCCCAAACCTAAAAACATTAAGGCGTATTACACTTAGTCAACTGTCCTACAGATTATGTTTCACCATTTTCCAGAAAATTCAAGCACTGGGACTTTGGTATGATAACATTTTTTTGTTTGCTTCTACCATTTGTTTAGTGACTTGACCTTGGATTGCCAGTTTTACCTCCCAAACTCTGCTAGACACTGAAAACTGGGTAAATGCATGGCGGGGACTTGGCTATAAGCAGTTCTGTTTGTTCTGCTTTTGAATTATTTCTTTACAGATTCTGTTGAAGATTTTCCATTCGGCAGAATGAACTTCCTTTTACAAATCAGTTGTAGGGGTTTTGCTCTCTTGACAACCTCTGAATTATTAACACAATATGAGTCACCCAATCAAAGAATATGTAACTAGATATTGTTTTCGTCTCTTTCATGACCCCTTTTAGTTTATAAGTTCAAGGGTTAAGAGCTGCAGTGTTTCCACACACACTAAAGTTCTGTGCAAAAGGGAATGGCTGTCATCACAGTTACCATCTCATTTGCTGCTTTGCTAGCTCCTCTCCTTTTAGAAGTTCATGATATTGCCATGGAAGGTCAAGTGCAAGTATCTCTTCCAAGTTCCCAGCTTTTTGGAGTTCTCTGTATTTTCATACAGAGCTTCTTTGACTTATTATCTAATTATCCCAAACCCTAAGAATTTTCCTGGTTAAAAATAAAAACTTTAAAATTCTGACATTTTACACATCTTTTGTAGTTTTTGACTTTAGAAGACGATTGCTTTTAGGCAAATATTCAGAACCCAAACGGTAATTTATAGTTCACTCACTGGAGTGGAGAATTTATTAAATCAACAGTCTTTCATTTCCTTACTGTGAAAGGCGGACTTTGTTCTCCTTGATGAATTTACCTATTATCTCACTCTTTGCCCAGAAGGAATTCTCAGTATCTTCTTTAACAGACAGCAGCACTGACAAGTAGAAACATAAACAGCACAGTAAGTGGAAAACACCTCCTCAGTGCCCCTGAAATCTACGGAGGCCAAGGGCGGTGACAGAGCCACACTTTTCTCTCTGGTTTACGAAGTCTCAACAATCCAGTTTAGAACAGGAGTCATTCAGATGCAGACAATCATAACAACACTAGAAATTCCAGTTAACAATTAAATGCAGGGTGTTAAAGATACACTTACCTCCTGTTTAGTTACTTTGGATCCATCCTTGCCCTCTGTATTTTCTGGAGACTAAAAAGAAAATATTTGGGTGAATTGTATTTAAGTTGGAAAATGCATATTAAAAGACCACATAAACCAGTGATAATCTCCAGGGAAAAGTAAGTTTGTAAGAGGATACGTTTTACACACACACACACACACACACACACACACACACATTTATCTGCATAACTGCTCTAATATAAAACCAGAATTGTTGCAAGAACTGATCTGAGCCCCTGTTCTCAATGTACACTCACTTGAAGTGATTTTCATTGACTTCTCCTGCCACAGGGGGAAAGAACAGAGAGCCAATAGTCACTTTGTTCCCCTAAGATGAGAGCAGGAAACTCCCAGGCCAAGCGCAAAACTGTATTTTCACCCCATACTCACCTAGCTTTGATTTTGAGCCCATTTCCTGATAAGACTTTACACATTTATCATGCATTCCCGTTTTTCCATCAGTGACTCGAGGGTCTCTCCCACACTCCCAGCCTCAGCGGAACGGCCCAGCACCCAGCCACCCTAGCTGATTTCTTCCCAGACTTTGATCCATCTCCCCAGGCAGCATCTGCCCACTCTTGCGATAGCTCAAACCTGACTCCTTTCCAGACTCCATAAATACACTTGGATTTATAAGACAAATCAATTATGTCAATATATTGTTATTGGCTGGACAATAAATGAGATGAAAACAATTCAAATAATCAGAAAATTAAAACTACTTGACACAAGACAGGAATAGAGTGGGCTTCCCAAGCGGCGCTAGTGGTAAAGAACCTGCCTCCCAGTGCAGGAGACTTAATAAGAGACGCGGGTTCGATCCCTGGATGGGGACGATCCCCTGGAGAAGGGAATGGCTACCCACGCCAGTATTCTTGCCTAGAGAATCCCATGGACAGAGGAGCCTAGCTGGCTATGGTCCATAGGGTGGCAAAGAATCAGACACAACTGAAGTGACTTAGCAGGCAAGCACGCAAGAATAGAAGAGTGGCTCAGATGGTAAGGAATCTGCTTGTAATGCAGGAGACCCAGGTTTGATCCTTGGGTCGGGAAGATCTCCTGGAGAATGGAAGAGACACCCACTTCAGTACTCCTGTCTGGAGAATTCCATGGACAGAGGAGCCTGCTGGGGCTACACTCCATAGGGTCGCAAAGAATCGGACACTAACTGAGCAAATAGAATTCCTAGGACAAAAAAATACAAATAGCAAACTGACATTTGACACAATGCATGACTTAGGAAAATAAAACAGCTATGTGGTAATGCCTAGTCTGAGAAAATGAGAAAAACATTGAAAAGCTCCTCAAACCCACTGTTTGCTGGGGTTGGTGACACTGTAAATTAATACAATATTTTCAAAGAACAGTCTGGCAATATAAAAAAGACACAGAGGACTAATCATGTAATGACAGAGTAATTCTGATTTTAGAATCAAGACTCAGAGAAAGAAATTTTGTAAAAATACCATTTTGTTTGTATTCTTTCTAACATGAAATAACTGGAAACAACTCACAGGATCAATAAATAACAGACAAATGTTTAGATAAACAATATAAGTATTAATGTTATGGGATTAAAAATAGTTAAGCTATGTGAACACATGGAAAGTCCACATAAAGTAAGATTAAATTTAAACACTTAGATTATAGGAAAATCCCTGGCAGACCAATGGTTAGGACTCCACACTTCCACTGCTGAGGGCCTGGGTTCAACCTTGGGAACTAAGATCATGTAAGCTTCACAGTGCCACCAAGAGAATATTAATAAATAAACAAAGGCTTAGGTTATAAAGTAACATGTAAAAGGTCAGAAGTAGCTAAAGTCTTGGAGAAAGACAGAAGCTTTTCTTCAATACAAACAACACAGTAAACCTCTTCTTCTCTGCTGCTCCCTGGTACCCAGTCTATGGTTCTCTCTCCTCAAAACCTCCCAGATTCTCTCTCTTCAGAACCTCCCAGATCCATGGAGTTCTCTCCTGTTTCCACATCAACCAACTATTTTCCCCTCATCCATGGAATCCTCTCTATCATCAAGGAAAACAGAGCTTCTCTTTTCTCTCCCCACTCTCTGGCACAGGAATGTCTGGCTCACAGATCTTGTGCTGTATCAGCCGGCTGAGTTAAGAGACAGAAAAATCTCAGAAAATCTAATAGGTGAGCCATTTGGCTTTGCCCACTTCCCCAGTCACCAATGTGACCCTTCTGGCCACAAACCAGGCGCTCTGCTGTCTGAAGTGCTGGGCTCAGCAGACCCGATCTGGGCTACCCTCTACCTGTAACTGACAGGCTTTTAAAGAAGCAGCACACAGCTTCTTATTTGTTTTTTGGCCATGTGGGATGTTAAGTTTCCTCACTGGGGATTGAATCCGCCCTCCCTGCATTGTAAGCGCAGAGTCTTAACCACTGGACTTCCAGGGAAGTCTCCACACAGCTTCTACTGACATTAAATGACATTAAATTTTTTTTTCTTAAACTGATATTATCCACAAATTTTTTCCCCTTAAACTGATATTAATGACATTATGTTCAATATGCTTCCAGGCAGTGGATTTGTGACAGCAATATGACTGATCACTCTCTAAACTAAACTAGTATTGTTTGTACTGGATGCAAATTACTGCAAAAGAGAAACCTGGAAACCAACCCCCCCACCCCCCAAAAAAGGCAGGTATAACTGAATATGTTAACGCTTCCAGATGAATGAATGAGCCTAAGACTGGAGATGGGAAGGGAGACAACTGTAGCAAAGCTGGTTTCTCTGGCAACCACTCCACGAGATCTCTGTATAAACAAGCACACAGCAAACTGGTAGGCAGGAACGACCCAAATGATCGTCACCCTGGGATCAGTGGGGTTCTGCGGCACGCACGCAGGTCCAGACACCACTGCGCTCTTGGCTCTCTAGCTCAGAGCCCTGTGATCTGGGACAGTGACCTGATCATGTGACTCCGTCTCTATCTCTGATGGAGGATGATGACACCAAACTCAAAGGGTCCTTGTTTACGATCAAGCGAGATATTGGGGAAAGCATTTCATACACTGAATGGCTATACAAATGTTATACAACAAAACATGTAAGATCTTAATGAGTCTTTTTTTATAGTAATGATATTTATTTGAGTATAGAGGTAAAATGAACCACCTTTTAATCCTGAAATTCTAGACTTCCATATTTGTGACTAAGCCATATCTACTAAGCCGTATTCATCTTAATGAGTCTGTAAATTATCAAATATGATATATTAAATTCAATAGAGTCTTGAGGTTGAGCGCAATTCCTTACATCCAGATTCCCTGCAACCTTGTCATCTGTTTCTGTTACATGGAGTAACAGGTATATGATTTCAGAAAGACCTGTCACCTTTCAGGCTGTCTGTATCACACACTGCTAACACTTAGCCACGAGGCTGGAGAGAGCAGGAGGTCATGGTATAAGGGAATCAAAAGAGAAGCCCGAAGCTTTCGTCCGAGATTTTGAGGAATAAAAATGAAGAAAAGGGAGAAATAAGGCTTGGGGTGTACATAGATGATCTCAGATATACTTCAACCGCCTTGTGAGCAGAAGGGAAGGATGAAGTGAGTGAGACAGGATGCGGGGGGTTCCAAGGCAGAGGGGTTCCTGCCCGGCTCCCCCAGGCAGGGCAGACTCACGCTGATCTAGTTTGAACGCAGAATGGTCAAGAAGGAGAGAACCACGGTCTAACAAAAAAGATATTCACATATCTGAGGCTCCTTCAGCATCCAAGTGGATGGGGACTGAACTAAGAACCAGCAAGGAGTAGGGGACACATGTGGTGGCCTGATGGAAGGCACAGCAGGGATTCTGGGGGAGTCAGAAATACCACTGGGTGGCAGATCACGCAAGTCGGCAGGCAGCTGGATCACCGAACACCTGGTAACCCAATGGAAAAAGAGAATCAGCCAAGAGCACGAACTATGTATGGCAAAAATCAACAGGTAGTTGAACTTATTAAATCTGCAAGTTCTGAAAATGCAAGTAGGCTCCTTGAAATTAAAAAGAACTCAAAACATAAACTCTAGACCAGATACAGCAGAAGAAATAATGAATTGTCATGGAGTGCTGAGGAACTAGCCCAGAATGTAACAAACAGCAATAAGGAGATAAACAGCATGAAAGAGAGGTTAGGAGACATGGTGGTTAACTGCAAGGATCCACATATGTTTAACAGACATTCAGAAGCAGAGAACAGAGACACTGGTGGGAAGGCAAAGGCATATGGGTGAGAATTTTCCCAAACTGAAGTCATGAGTCTCCAGATGGAAAACTCACACCAAGGAACAAACTGGTAACAAAACAGAGCAACCATATACAACGAGACATAATAAAACTACAGAAGGTCAAAGAAAATGAAGAAAGTCATTAAAAGTTTCCAGAATTAACAGATGGATTATTTTCAAAGAATTAACTTCTCACCAGAATCTGTAAACTATAGGAAACTCCAAAGAAATGTTCAAGGAGTTGAGGAAAACTGTCAGCCTAAAATTTTACACCCAGCTATCATTCAAGAGTAAAGGTAAAATGAAGATATGTCAGAATACAAATACTAAGAGTTTACTGCCAACAGAGTCTTTCTTTCAACAAGGATCTAAAACTAAAGGATCAAATTCAGCAAGAAGAAAAGAGAATTGAGATGAAAGAAAAATGCATATGAAAAAAGTATAAAATATATTGGCAATCTATTAATTGTAGATACTAATATCTATTTTTTGTGTTTAAAATATTTCAATAGAAATCATAGACTAGTGTTGCCCTAAAGAATTATAAAATATAAGTTTAGATTTTTTGATAGCTAATGAAGAAAGTAAAAAGACAAAGGTGAAACTAATTTTGATAATATATTTCATTTAGCTGAAGATACCTGAAACTTTACCATTTCAACACGCTATCAAGATTCAAATTATTAATCAGATATGTGGCAAACGTTCTTAACACTAAATCTTCAAAACCTGGCATGTATTTTACATTTACAGCACATTTCCACTCAAATGCTAAGTTTTCACTAGGA